TTGGTTTGAGTCGGTAATTATAAAATTGAAAATAATTTAGTATCTCTAAGTACTCTTAATGAAGTTAGAATATAAATATTTTGGTGATGTAGATAGTTGGTCATCTTGAAATTGGATCTAGAATTAATGAACTATTTGTATTACTAAAATATATGCTACATGTTTGATGTGTTAGACTCAACAACTATGGTGGTAATTAGGGAAGTAAGAACAATATTAAGTATATATATCAAGTATTAGTATGATGGAGCTACTAGAAATCTATTAATGATGATTTCTTAAAGAGCTATGCAAATAAAATTATGCATTGTGGAAGCTACCAAAGGATAGATGAATATTCATTGATTGCAAAATTTTAGATAAAGGAGCAACATTAATAATAAGATAAATTTTGGTAGATTTTTCCAATGATGAGTCAAAGATTACAAAGCATAATTAGTTAAATGTTCCACCGATAAGATAAGAGTATCACATGGAGAGGTATTCAAATATGATCATTAATCTAGTTCATTAGAAATTTAGAGTTTGAAATTGAAAATGTTAAGTATGGAGTATAATTTTCATTAATTATCTTGAATAGTTTTTTTTTTCTGATTTTACAAGATGGAGACTATACAAGTCCTAAATGAATGTTACCCTAAAAATCTAAATAGAGGTTGCCATAAAATCTTAAATGAAAGCTATCATAAAGTGCTAAATGGAGCTACAACAAAGTTCTTTAATGGAGTCTGCAAAATTTCATATGTGGTTGATCATTAATTTTAGAAGATGAATTCTTTACTATATAAATCCATGCAATCGTAGAATAAGAAGTAACAAAGAGAGGAGATGAGGATAAAGAGATAGAGAGAGGAGAGGGGGGGTGAAAATAAAGAAAGAAATCTTTCATGTGCTTGCAAGTAGAGTTTTTCAATTTTTAAGAAGAAGTCTTTTTTATAATAGTGACTGTATTTTTTTTTCAGCTAGATAAATTGATTATTTTCACATCTATAATTTTGTATGAAGTATAATTCTTCACATATCTCTTTTAAAGCTTAGTGGATTATTTGATTCTTCTATCATCATGGATGTATGCTCACTGAAGTCAAACCAAATAAATTTAGTGTTTCTCTTTTATAGTTCTTGACTCTCTTTATAATTATTTTGTTTATTCATTGTACTTGCCCTTTGGTTGAGCACACTCTCCTTACTAATAGGTGTAAAATAGACATCTATCATTAATTATATTTGAACGATTGCTGACAAGGAATATAAGAACTTGATTAATGATCATTTGTAATTCTTCTAGGAGTACTAGGCATCAAAGATCTGCATCTAATGAAACATTAAGCTTCAAAAGTTAGTGAACATGATCGTGTAGTCGACACAATATTGTTAGGAGAGATTTACCGGCAATTAACAAGACAATGTTGGATGTTAGTGGTTGTTAGGCGTCATATTTTGGTCTTCATTAGGGTAAGTTGAGGAGCACGAAGAAGTTATGAGATCAGTTTAAGCTCAAGA